CTGAAGGGTTGCATGGGGGAGAGGAGGATGCTGTTGGTCTGTCAGGTCAACCTTACTAGGAAAGGGGAGGAACTGTGGACATGGATTATATGGCGTGTTGGGAAGAGTGGGGAGTATTCTTAGGAGGGTTTCTTCCTGGTACTGCCCTGGGGTAATTTCTGTAGTGCATTCAGGATCCAAAATCCATGGGAAAATGGGTTTCATTCTGATACTTGTTAGTGAAAGTGTTAGCTTTCAAACGGAAAATACTGCTACCTGACTGGAAGAACAGTACTGGAAGAATAGTAAAAATATTAAAGTGTCGTCTACCACATCCAGTTTATTTACTGAATTTCATTGCTTAAGTGTTAAGTATTAGACACTGATAAAACTACTGATGTTCTCAGTTTCTTCAGCATTTCAACCCAATGAATGTGTTGGATTATGTATCATGGTAATTGTTTCACAGTTTGAAACTGTACAGAGACAACGTAACAGGTTTTTTGTTTACTAGTGATTTTTCTTTGCATTCATAGGACTGGAAAGTAATACAATGAGAATTGTGATTTCTAAAAATTCTGAAACACAGAATATACCCCTTCCTGTGGAATTCTGGAAGAGAATTCCAGAAGCTACAAAGATTTCGGTTCTGCATTAGCTCTGCTTACTGAAAACACTACAAAAACATTTTTGCTCTGAGACTATACATTTTTATTTATCTTCAGTATTCTTATTTCTTTCCAGATATTTATGTACGAAATAGCATCTAAAATACTTATTTTCTTCTCTTCCAGGCTGCTGAATCAGGAATAATAAAAGTGAAAACAATAGCTGCACGGAACGCTGATATTTTGGCAGGTAATTATTTGCAATGCAATGGGAAAAGTAAACTTAGGTTACAGATCAAAATGTTAAAAAGATGTCTTGGATATGTGTAATAATCCTACATGTCTTTTAGCGTGTGCTATGTCAATGATGCTTTACTTTTGGGCACCTAGCAAAAAATCCAGAAGCATGAGAATTTTTTAATACTACTTCTGTTTCATGTTAGTGCTATACTGATGCTGAGGAAGGTCTCCATTTTCAGGTGTGGCTCTACAAAAGTAATCATCCACTTCGAAAAACAGCATGAAATGCTTAGACTCCAAATTCTCAATGTTTTATTCACTGTCTATGTTCATCACAGCTGTTGTTGAGTGCTTAGTGTGGAGTTCTGCAGTATGATCCTCATCTGTGTGTTTAGTATGAGAGTCTAGCCTTTGGAGACTTGTACCTGGCAGGCAAATATCCATCTTAATCTGAGACAAGGTCATTCAATTTAAGATGTACCATTGCCTTGAGGGACAGGAGATATCTTGTGAGTCCCAGCTTTGTAAGTGCTTAAAACATATCTCTGACTTTCTTCAGCTTTATTAAATAGCATGTAAGTTGATGGCTTCTTGCCAGTTGCTGGTAAAGCCTTTAAATGTCCCTGTATTAGTACTTGAGTGTTCACCCCAGCTGTAGTCAAAGTCCTTAAAATGCTAAATTATTTGAAAGGTCCAAATGAAATAGATGTAAAACTATTTCTTGTTGTGAGGTATGTAAATCAGATATTGGTAAGGAGGCACTTTCTAGAATTATTTGAAGTAGCAGTCCCACCCCTCAAGATTTCACTTTAATGCCTCTTTTTTATTTGTTTATTTTCTTTGTTTTTACTGCTGTCATGAATGCTGACATAAGTGGGAAAACTGTGCCAGGTAATGTCAGCTATATCAAAATACACAAATGAACAAGAGAAATCTCTAGTTAGCCATTTGGGAAGCTGTTGACATTCTTTGGAGTACTACTGTGTAAAGAACTTTATATTTTAGAAAGATAGTTTGTAATCCTGCAAAATTCTTTGGTTTTTAATCTTCATTTCAAAGTGAAGAGATGTGAAAGATCATTGATTTTGGCCATAGAGGGACAGTCTTTACTTTTACTTTCTGAGGGAACACTTTCTGGTAGTTGGTCAGTTTTTATAAGTACTTTTCCTTTGGAAGGTTTAAACTAGAACGTAGTTAGTATTGATTTCATTCATCAAAAAAAAGGTGCAGATTTGTTGTTATGAGGTTTGGAAAACCAGCAGGTGCTAGAAGTTATTTTGATTGATTGAAACTTTTTTCCTGGTAAGAAACTGCGGAACAGAAGGGAATATATTTTTTGCCTGCACGTTTTCCAGCATTCCACAGTTTAAATGTAATGCCGTTAAAACAGTCTCAGTGCTTTATGGACGCTTGTATTTTTTGAGGTATCTGTTGTAACCTAATCTTGTAGATAAGTTAATGTCAAGATCTCTGTTGTCTCCTATCTGCTGTTTTTTGGAGGGTTTTTGGAGGAAGATATTACATATACTTTAGTAACAATAAAGCTGCAAAAGGATACTGTAATTGTGCAATCCAGTGAAGTAGATACTTTTTGACTGCTAGTTGATTTAGGACATTTGCTAGACATTCTAGTAATCCAAATAAATATTTTGATCAGGATATGATTTTTCTTTATATTTTAATATAAACTGTCATTTCACTAAAATAGATGAGAACAACTGTATCAGATTGTTTTGAATAAGCTGACCTGATGCTTTCTTGAAGCATTACACTGTGTAGGATTATAATTCTTAGGAAAATAGATGACATCTTAAAATGACAAATGCACAGATGTAATATTATGTCTGGTGAGATGTGTTTAACTTGCCAGAACTCTGAGGTCATTGATCTAACTTCCTCCTTTCTTTTTGAAAAGTTAAGTTGAGCAGTTTCAAAGTCTTCATTCTTGGCAGTCTGTGCGTGCTTTATAATTTATTTATGAGGATTTGAGTAATTCCAAAAGAGAAGTCAGCTTGTGCTTTATATCGGAGGAGATAAATGTGAGAAATATTTCCACATGGCTCTGAGATGTGCAATTCATACTTTTGTTTTAGAAGTTCTTTTAAAAAAATTAGAATTACAGTCTTGCTGATGGAATGAAGGAGTAAGTTTTACTTTCCCAAAACTTCTTTTTTTGATGTGGTTCATTATGATAGATTCCTTTTCTAATATATTCTTACATAATATTGGTAGCAAAATGGAAGCAGACCAGGATATAAGAAAATTTTTGTGTATTTTAAGACTAAAGCTAATATAATGATCAGTACCAAACCAGATCTATGAAACATTAATTTTTCAGCTTCATAAAGTAAAAATCCTTGTATAGATCCTGTTGTGAGATTACTGTTTGTAATGGATTATATGAAAAATAGTGTAAAAGGTTTAAATTTTTCTTTGTCCTGTTATTTATTAACTCTTATACCATTTTTGCCATTCCAGACTTTATCATGAGTCTTATGTTAAGGATAATTGTTTTGTGGTATCTTTTTAAAAATTCTGCTTTCTTCCTTTTGCGTGATGGTTAGAATTTAATGGCAATTCAGAAATTTATATGAGTGAAGAAGCATTTGTGCCCAGCTCTGGGCTCTATTGGCCACACGTTGTAGGTGTTCATAGACTATAAAGGCAGCTTAGACATCTAGCTCACATGTAGACACTGACAGTTAGATGCCTAAATTACATGTCTTAATTGGGAACAAACTTCCATTTTTGATGAAGTAGCCAATGTTTTGTTTTTACTTTGAAAATCATGGAGTGTTTCATAAGAGAACAGTATTGGTGGATGTGGTTTATGCTGTATATTTTAAAAGCAGGTTTATTTGCTTTATAGTTACATTAAAAAAACCTGTTGAAATCAAAGCAGATTGTTAAAGAGGCAGTGAACCTATGTATTCATTCACATTTATGCTGACATTTTAATTGGTTTTGATCAGGCATTTGGTGCACGGTCAGCCTCTGTCAACTGGATGTAGAGCCTGTACTGGCTCTGAAGAGGCTGACGAAGCTATGGACTGTATATGTGTTAATACCACCCTGTAAGAACTATTACCTTATAGAAAGTTGGTATCTACAATTCATACTGGCCTATTCTTTTCATAGAAACTTGTTAGTCATGTTAGTTAGTGCTTCAATTGAAAAATATCACTAAAATATATTTTTGTAATTTTTACCTTGATGTTTCATTTTTTTTTTCCAAATTAGTTGTGGTGATACTTAATAATAAACCCTCCTAAGAGCCAAACTTCAAATTGCTCAATAGAAAGAATAAAATCGATCATGTTTGCATTTTTATGTATTTTATGTATTTTTTGTTTGTTTGTGGTAAGATCTGTGCTCTAAAAATGTGTGTGAAATTTTTTTCATGAACACATTTCTCTTATTACACATAGACTAAAACACAGTGTATGACATTCAGTGTAAGAACACACACTGAACTGTCAGCTGTGAGGAAATTTTTAATATCTGAAATAGTGGTGAGCGGCTAAAATCTTAAAAGTTTGCATGAATCAACAACCATACCTGCAAACAGAAAAGCACTCTTTGGTCAGAGTCATGCTTTCCTTTCATCTTTCAGAAATACTTTCTTCCTTTTTTGATTTCATGAAGTTTATCTCAGATTTAGAATTACTTTTATGGGGAAAAAACTTTTAAAAATATCAGTGTGGAATGTTGTATTCATTGTGAAGTTTTTTCTCCTAAAAAAAAAAAAAAGGTAGTTTATGAAACTTGTGTTTTCTCCTGACAGAGCTTCGTTTTAAGCTGCCCTTTCTCAGTAAAACACTGGTTGAAAAATTTATAGCCAGGTGTACAAAGAATCATAGAATCGTTTAGGTTGGAAAAGACCTTTAAGATCATCCAGTCCAACCATTAACCTACACTACCAAGTCCACACTAAACCAATCAAGGGTAGACTAGACCAAACCATGTCCCAAAGTGCCACATCTGCCCGTTTTTTGAACACTTCCAGGGATGGGGACTCCACCACCTCTCTGGGCAGCCTGTTCCAATACCCAGGATATAAACAGTCCAGTCTCTTTCTCCTCCCGTTTTGTCAGTGGCATTTTGTTATTCCTCTTTGTACTGCGTGCTTTGATATGTCTCTCAGTGCCACACTTTGTGTTGCTTTTGAGTTCGGTGCCAAGGGGAAGCAAAGCAGAAGGAGAAGGCTACCAGCCTGAGGCTGATCACCGCTGCAAGGCCAGGGAAAGCTCTGGGGTGGGCAGAACCTTACAGCTTCTTACTAACCAAATGGGCTCTAAATGACCGGTTTGGATTTGGAAAGAGAGAGTCATTTGAGTGTGTAAGGGACAAAGTGCTTGGGGTTTGAGCCTCAGCCAGGGTAATTGCGGAAGTGAGCTGTGGCAGCCCAGTGTCTGTCTTCACTTGGCTTTTCCCTGTGGTGCAAGCATAAGTCCTAAATTTCCAGGACTGGAGATTGCTTTTTGTTAATAGGTATGATTAACAAATTTTGCGTTGTATTTTTGAAAGCGTTAAAACATTGACTGCTTCCATATCTCTTTTTGAAAGCATTGAAAGAGAACAGCTCAGAGGTAGTTCAGCCTTTTCTCATGGGCTGTGGAACAAAGGAACCAAAGATCACTCAGCTGTGTCTGGCAGCCATACAGAGGCTCATGTCCCATGAAGTTGTTTCAGAGGTAAGATCAATCTTTATATAAATACATAAATATTTCAGTGTGAGAGATACATGAGAAATACTGAAGGTGAATGCTTTTTTTTAGGAGGCTGTTTATATTACAATGAACGTAGTCTGCAAAGTATTTTATTCATATCTGTTTTTAAAAAAATGGTAATTTAAAAGAAAACCTTTTTGACCATGAAAAATGGAAAAGAAAAAAAGAGGTGAGGAAACATTAGTGACTTCTAGAAGGAAATTCATGTAAATTCAGAACAGTTCATTTAGTTTGCGTTCTTACACTGCAGGAGCAGAACATGTAATGGTGCTCGATAAATATAATTCCTAAGGTGGCATCCACAAAATTTACTCTGTGTGATATCATTACCTGTTATGGTTTTGTTACATGTTACTTTTAAAAATAAGACAAAATGGATGCACATTTCCTGCAACTGTAAATATCATGATACAGTATGGTACTGCATGTATAGTGTGTTAAGAAGCTGGTAAAACTAATACTGTTAAAATATACCTTCAGTTGTGCTTGAATAATGTAAAATTAAGCTGTTTTTTCTGTGATAGGAATGAATTTTGAGTGAAGCTCAAATTGAATTTTGGGAAGCTTGTGACAACGAAATTGGCTTTATGTTCTCAATGTAGTCCTACGGTACATTCAATATACAGTAAATTTGCCAGTAAACAAGCAAATTCAGTTATAATATGCATTCATGAGAGTGCTCTTCTTACAGGTGTACACATGATATACCAGTATGTAAGCATCTTAATTGTTGGCAAAAAATTATTTCTTTGTAGGCTGCAGCGGGAAACATTATTAATATGCTTTGGCAACTGATGGAAAATAGTCTTGAAGAACTTAAATTGCTTCAGACAGTTCTTGTCCTTTTAACAACCAATACAGTTGTGCATGATGAAGCACTGTCCAAGGTAAGAATTTGTTAGTGCCAACTATACTACTTAAAATATCCAAGAGGAAAAATGAGCAGAAATTTTACATACGAAGCATTTGGAAATAATGGAAGCGGAGGGGGCTCTTTTGATTCTGGTGTATTCCTATTGTCTTTATATCTAGACTCTGAAAACAGGATTTCTTTTAGCTTCCTTTTCAATCTGTTTTTTAATTCCTCCACATTAATATATTTCTGACGTAATGGGAACTTTAAATAAAAACTTTGGGCCCAATGTCTGCCCTTCTCATCTGCTAAATTCATTGTATGCATGTTTTCGAACTGAAATCAGAGCACATAGCGCAGTGTAATCTCTCAGTAATAAAGCAAATATTAGAAGAAGCTGCCTGCCACCCTGCCTTAAATCTCTTTCAGAAGCAGTACAGTTATTGCTCTTTCAGTCAGAACTGAAATAAATTTATTGCATAATTTTAAACATGTACCATTTTGGATATTATGTTTCAACTAAGACAAAACATAAGGATTCCGATCCATTTTAATCTTAAGTTAGAAGATACTTCTCTTTGAAGGAGCAACATTGTTTACCCATCTGTGCATTGTGAAGTTCTGTTTAAAGTTAAGTTCCTCTTCTAGGTTACATTTTATAATTTTTTCTCTTTAACTTAAGAAAGATCTTTTGGTTTTAAACAAATCATTCTAAATTGCTGTCTTTATTATGCTCTGCCTTCAGTGTATTGGTTTAATATCAGAGCATAGTGGGGGTTTTTTTGTTTGTTTTGGGGTTTTTTTTTTTGAGAGAGAGAGAATAGAATTGAATATTTTTGAAGGCATTGTGTTCTGGAAGGTGGAAGGTTTTCAGTTTTTCTTTGCTTCTGGTTTTAATGAAATGGCTTCCTAGCTGGCTAAATGTGTGAATATTGAAATCATTGTTAATCTGTTTAACCAAGGGAAGGAAAAACACGAAAGGAAATGAACCTAAGTTACAAATGTCTGCTGAAGGCAGGAAGATAATTGAAAATTTATAAAACCTATAAATGGCAGAATAGAAACTTGCTGAGGATTGAATGGTTTGTCAGTAGGTTCTTTTTTGACTTGAGTGGTCAAATTATGTCAAAGACTCTTCAGCACGATCTTGTTTCTTTTGTTCCAGATAACACTCATTTTCCAAATAAGGTGCTGTGTTCTTGGGCAGAAGCATGATTTTTGAAGAAAATGGAAATACTTTAGAAAGTGGGATTGTCAGCCATTAACTGGGTAGCAGATGTTCTTTAACAACCTGCAATGTTGCTGTTTGATCACGTTTGAATGTAGGCTCTAGAAGGAGACAGTTGCTGTTTATGTCCACCATACCTTTCCCTTCTGCTTCTCATCAATTCTTTCACTTATTCCCCTGCCTCCATATACCCTCTCTCTCTCTCACCCCCCTTATTCTTAGGTTCTTGGTATCTACATCGTATTTCAGTCACTTTTTTTGTGTGCATCTTCCAAACACATTTTTCAACATCCTTTATTTTCTCTTCTCTCTAATGTCTAGAAACTTTCTACTTTTGGACACCAGCCACAAGAGCATGTGGGTGCAGCAGTGTCAAATAAGTAGGGAACGTCTTTCCCAGCACGTCTTCCTCTTGTCTTGTATGCTGATCCAGAAGCATGCTCACATAGTACAATTACTGGAGAATCTAATTGGTGCACTTCTAACAATTTCCTTAGTGCACGTTAAAATCTAGTACATTTAGAAATGTATAGTCAAATTTGGGCAGACTCTGACAGGGGTAAGAAAAAAACATTCCTTGCAGAGCAATATCCTGTAAAATTTCTTGGTGTTGTCCAAGGCCTGAAATGAATAGACTTTCTCAGTTAACCAAATATAAGCATTACTTGGCATGGGTAAAATGGTGCAATGGTTTGTTTGTTTTTTTCCCCTCAAGATTCTTTTGAGAAGTATCTGAAAGTTGGGTTTTGTTTTTGGTTTTTTTTTTTTTCCCCCATGTTGAAAGGTTCTTAGAGAAAATCAGTTTGAGCCAGCCATATATTGCATATTCATGTTTCAGCTTGACCGATTTAAATTAAGAAAATTACTGGTAAACCATCTTGAAAAGCTGCTTAATATAGGCACTGCTGTTAGATTAACCTAGAGAATCATGTAGTATCTTCTGAAAGTCCAGAGGTCTATGATTGCGTTGTAAAATTTCAAACATGGGGATATCATCTGAGCAGAGTCCACAAATAATTTACAAGAAAAAGAAGCAAAAGAAAATTCTGAATCTTGTATGGCTTAGAACATGTAGTGCTATGGCTAGGTGTAGTTGAGGTTCATGCAAATGCAAGAACACAGAATAAGGACAAAAGAACAGGAAATACAGGTTTCGCTACATATACAGATGTTAATTTTCAAAATTCATTATAAAATAAGTAAGTATTAAATCATGTGTTAGAGGTAATATGAAATCCAATGGGGAACAGTATTCAGGTCACTGCCAGCCCAATGACACACTAAAATACGCACCTTAGGAATAATAGCAGTTGAGGCAACATAGTTGTGAAAGTATTGTGATTTAACGTGCGAGAGGAATGGCATTTTAGCTTTGGAGTTGACTGACCTTTCTGTGATTAACCATGTAATCCTGATGTTCTTCTGACATTAATATTCATACAAGTTGTTTTATGTGGTTGATTACTGTGTATTCTCTGTATGATGATTGTAGTTTTATTGGCACATCATAATGTCTTCAGTTAATACCACATCTAGATTACCTTTGGGGAGGATTACTAAAGAGGTTTTTGGCTAGGGTAATCCATAAAACTTGTTCTGGTTCTTCAAATTTAAAATGATTAAACCATTTTTTTTTTTCAGGCAACCTTTTGACAAACTAGTGGAAAGCATTCCTTAATCAGCTATCTTGACTCAGCAAAAAGATGAAAATATATTGTTGTAAGGTGGTTTGTTTTTTTGTTTTTTTGTTTTTTTTCTTTCAGGCAATTGTACTTTGTTTTCGGTTGCACTTCACAAAAGATAATATCACAAATAACACTGCAGCAGCTACAGTACGGCAGGTAGTTACTGTTGTATTTGAGAGAGTGGTTGCTGAAGATGAACGATACAAAGGTGGGCATACTTACTCTGCTTGCTTGTATTAACCTGTTTTTTGGACACACATCAAATGTTTATCTTTTTTCAGATAAATAGTAAAAAATCTATAAACATTATTAAAAAAATCACAGACATTATTAATTGTTACTGTCTTTTCTACATTTATTTGTATTCAAAGGAGATGAAATCCTTAGCCATTGTGTCAGTCCAAGTCAGTACAGCGATATATAAAAACTAGATTTTTTTCAAGCTGTGAGAACTGGTCTTCAGGTTAGTATTGTGAAGGAATTTGAGGTGAGGGTGTCATTTAAGATGAAGGTAACTTAGATTACTGAGTGTGAAATAAATGGCAGTAGTAGTTTTGAAGAGAACATTTATTGGAAAGAAGTGCTTGGTATTGATGATCTTTGGTATTCAATCTAACGTTTATTTCTGCAGACATGATAAGTTGCAGAAGAATTACCTGGCCATTCTCCTAGAATCTTTTTGTAAGAACACTTAATGCATACTTGATTTTCAACAGTTCCTTTGTTCACCAAACTGTTTTTTGTTTTTACACAGATACTATTGACCAGCCAGTTGCAGTTCAAGGAAATAGTAACAGAAGATCTGTCAGTACACTGAAGCCATGTGCTAAAGATGCATATATGCTTTTTCAGGTAGTTGGGGAGCATATATTTATACATTTGCAGTTATGATTGGGTGCTTCTTAGTTGGGGAGCATATATTTATACATTTGCAGTTATGATTGGGTGCTTTTACATTGCTGTAAGAATTTTTTAAAAATTGCTGTTGGCATATTGACAAGGTTCTTAACCAGAGCCTCAGTCTTTCTTACGCACATTTATTGTAATTGGCAATGATATGCTGTATCCCAGGGGGATGATTGGAAAATGAAGACAAAGTGGCCTAGGAAAATTTTACTATAAATCTTAAATAATAGCTAAGCATGCATGTCTGCATTAAATTCGAGAATCTTTTTTCTGTGAGCCAGACATTGCTACTGTAGTTCAGTCTTGCTTCTTGTGCTTGGTATTGTATATTAAAGTCAAGTATATAATGAAAAGTAGTAGTTGTATTCATCACATCAATAAAAATCTTAGCAAATTCACTGGTCTTGAGATATTTTTGACGGCAGGAATTAACACAATTGCTACAAGGATACCAGCAAAGTTTAAAATTTCTTTTAAAAAGTTTTTTGCTTAATAATTTATGTGGGGGAAAAAAAAAGTATTTGAGGAAAAATTATGTTGAAATTGGAAAATAACTCACTACAAAAGAGGGAGAGAATGTAGATTTTGTTGTAGACTCAGAACACTTATGCCAGTTACAGGACTGCGCAGAGAATGTAAATGTTACTGTATTCCTTTTTAAGGATCTTTGTCAGTTAGTTAATGCTGATGCTCCCTACTGGCTCGTGGGTATGACAGAAATGACCCGGACATTTGGCCTTGAACTTCTTGAGTCAGTCCTCAATGACTTTCCACAAGTGTTTTTACAGGTGAGTAGTTCTTGGAGGGAAAATAGGAAGACTTGTTTACGTGTGTGATAAAATTTACACGTCATTAACTCCTCTTCAATTTAGCGCGAGTACTGCTTTTCAAAAGGACTTGTAGCTTTTACATGTTGGGTTTTTATGATATAAAAATATCCAATTATATAAAATTGTCCACTTTTTTCTATTCCCATACACCTTATTTGTGCATTTTGTAGAGCATGTTGCACTATTTCACTTTTTGTTTTGCCATTTATATCTCCTCCAAAGATGCATTTTCTTCTCTTGCATGATTTAGACAGCTCTCTAACTTAGTTTGTGGCATTGTTATTTCTACAAAAATGTTAACTTCACCCCACTTGGAAAGCAGCAGAAATCATGACTATGAATTATGTGGGTCTACTGCATATAAATGCACCATGGTCCTGCAGTAACACATTTTAGCAGACAGTAGCTAAATTAAAAAATTAAATATATAATGTGATGTATTAGCAGCCTATTTCAATTTGCAAAATACAAGAAGGGGGGTGCATGGTATGAACCTGACCATGTCATTTCATCATGCTTTTTGGTAGCTTTACAATGGTGTCTGCCGTTCTTCCTTTTCATTCCCCGAGTGTGTAATTTATACTAAGAGTTACATGACTTTAGAGTGCTTGATCATAACAGTAAATGTAAATAAGATGCATAATCAGAGCTACTGGTAGCAATTAAAGAGTATCTGCTTATAATTTGTTCTGTTTTCTTTTTCAGCATCAAGAATTCAGTTTTCTTCTTAAAGAAAGGGTATGCCCTCTTGTTATAAAGCTCTTCTCCCCAAATATCAAATTCAGGCAAGGTTCCAGCACGTCATCTTCCCCAGCACCAGTGGAAAAACCATACTTCCCCATATGTATGCGTTTGCTGAGGGTGGTTTCTGTTTTGATTAAGCAGTTTTACAGTTTGCTGGTAAGAACATACTCAAATTTTCTTTATGCAAATCTGTTTTTCTATTGATATGCCAGTACTGTGATCAGTAATAGTATTAATTAGTTCTTGGGAATGGTTGACCTACACGGAGGGGGGAAAAAAAGTCTAAATATTCTTCTCCTCATATGTGTATTTGTGTTTTCATGTATTCTACATGTATGATTTTATTAAACATGGGCTTGTATAAATTCTCAGACTATATTAGCTGTTGTCTTTTCTGTACTTGACTGCCTTTCAGTTAAGATTTTGGGAACCTTTTGATCTTCTTATGTTGTTTGCCTGGCTTTAGATAATGTTGATTGCTGTGCCTTGTTAATAATTGCTAAGAGGCTTTTGACTTGTGTTGCTAAAGCTGTTGACAGAATGTGAATATGACACGTGTTCAGCTGTTCTTACCTCCTGAATTTTAGATATTTGCTAAAAAAGATTTTTTCCTATTTCATTTGTTTACTGTAGCACATATAAGAACTTTACTGCAATGTCTTGTTAGGAACTTAACTCCTTCAATACGATTGCATATGTGGTGTTAGCTTGGCAAAAATATTACAATTATTAGGTATGTTTTTTATATACTTCTGAGTAAATGCTTGTTGAAGGGAATTTTTAGATCCTGTGCAAAACTTTCTGAGATAGGACTCCTAAGATGAAACATGTTTTTTGGAGAAAGTATTTTGTAGGAGGCTTTTTCTTTTAATTTAATGGCTATAAACTGTGTCTTTCAGGTGACAGAATGTGAAATCTTTCTGTCATTGCTGGTTAAGTTTCTGGATGCAGACAAACCACAGTGGCTAAGAGCTGTTGCAGTAGAATCTATTCACCGGCTTTGTGTGCAGCCTCAGCTATTAAGGTATTAAATATATTGAGTTTCACTTTTACATAAAATTTAAGAAATCTTTTTATTTTTCTTTGGTGGAAAACGCTTCCTAAAACATTATAAATATGTAGAAACTTAAATGCAATAAACTCTTCAAGATAATTTTTTATAAAGAAATAGGCAATGCTTATTATCCAGGAAAGGCTGAATTATAGTTACTTGAGTATTTGTCATGGTTTAGCCCCAGACAGCAACTAGGCACCAGGCAGCCGCTCACTCACTCCCCCTGCCCTGGTGGGATGGGGGGGAGAATTAGAAGAGTAAAAGTGAGAAACACTCCTGGGTTGAGATAAGAACAGTTTAATAATTGAAATAAAATAAAGTAAAATAGTAGTAGTAATAATAACAGTGTAATAATAATAGTAATAATAATAATATACAAAGCAAGTGATGCACAGTGCAATTGCTCACCACCCGCCGACCGATACCCAGACAGTTCCCGAGCA